TAATTAGTCGTTATTATTAGTCGATGTTGTCGAAACCAACTATAGCAGTTGGCAGAACCACATATTTACTTTATCATCTAAGGACTCTTGATCTATACTTTTACAAACATTACACGGTCACTAAGCAAATCATTATATCGACTGAAGTTAGTTCTGTGAATTGCCGGTGGGGACTCTGCCCACCAGCAATACTGTAAACACTAAACAATTATTTAGGAGAATGGTTTCCATCAACATTGAATTATTCAAACCATGATATAATCTAGTATTGGTTTCGCTCGAATTGGTGCTCAATATTGCAATGACATAACTAAAGATATTAGGTTAGGTGTAGGGTTAGGTTTAGGTTCTTCTGTTTCATTATCTAGTAGTCATTTATATAGAATACATATTAAGATTGAATGACTAAAACTATTATTATTTTTATGAAAATGGACTAACATGGATATATATATATATATATATATATATATATATATATATATATATATATATATATATGAGTACATATTAAGGTCGTGATTTTTTTATGCAACCCAATCTTGCTAATATTATAAATGTGAAAGTTTAGATGGATGTTTGTTACTCGATAACGCCAGAACGACTGAACGGATCTGGATGAAATTTGGCACAGACCTAGAACTGGAATAGCGCACAGGCTACTTTTTATCCCGGAAAAATGTACAGTTCCCGTGGGGTAGATTTGTTTTCTTAGAGGCGAACCCGAGCGAAGCGAGAGTGAGCCGCTAATAAATAAGAATTTTTGAAAAATCGTTTTCTACAAAATATAGGAGAGAAGAGTTTAAAAAACTTTGTAAATGAAAATTTTTTTATTATTTAAACACTTATTTATTTTAATATTTAAACACTTTAGAGTGTAAACCCTTAGGAAAATTTGATCACTCTTAAGTAAACGCATAAAAGGCCAAACCATAAACCATATAGCCAAATTGAGTGTCCTCCTCTTTGAAGTCAGTCCAAAATATTTTGAATTATATACATCAATGCTTATAACTAAAGCATTGTTTAATTTATTGCTTAGAAGTAGAAAACCGGGCAATATTCTACCATTCTTACACGATTTAACACTTATAATATATTTTTTCACTATATTCAAATATTTAGTCAAATATTCCAGCCCCAATATACGAGTAACTTCAATGTTGCATATTCATAGCTGTAAGCTTGGAAGCTAGACTTAATGACTGAGTTCTCAGAATGTTATATAGGTATGTATAATATGATGCCCCTTGCAGCACGACACGAATGATTTCGAGAGTGCATTTTCCAATATTGCTATACTATTTCAATGTGGAAAGTTACAAAGGTCTTTCAGTAATAGGTAGTAGTCGTATTCTAATATCCAGTAAACTGAAATCTAACTCTGACTAAAATTTATAATTTCGTTTTGACTTGAAATAAAACTAAAAATATTATTAGAGGATTATAAATAAGTGAAATATATTAATATAAATTAGAGTATAAACTATGTTTTGTAGAATATTTTTCTTGTTAAAAAAGCATTTTTAAGATAAATATATACAAATAAATTAAACTGTAGGACCGATTTACATGAACCTCGAAAATTTGTTCGCCTTACAAATTTTGATTACTACTTTTACCCCTTTATGGGTCAAATTGAATAAAGACTCTATAACTGTCTATTATAAAAGAAGAATACGCTGACAACATTGGACTTATCCAATATCCATGCGTCGCTCGGACACCATTTTATTTCACTAGCCAATGTGTTCAAGTCATAGCCGTTTTATAAAAACTGTTACATTTAGTCAGTATTATTCGATATAAGTAAATTTCCTACTTTACGGATTTCTGTATAATGGGTATACATTCGGTTATTTCTCTTGTACAGTTTCCAATTCAACATTTCAATGAAAACATGCAAAAACGCGTGAAAGCAAGCTGTTACAAATTACTTGTCACTCACTTTGAGGAGTGTCATGGCTACGCTACTGACATGTTATTTCCAACGTCGTTTTATCTTTGAAAACACTTTTCAACTTATTTTACATCTTTCAGTAAATTTTAATCTAGATTAAGTACATTATCTTGAACTTAATATTTAATACTTGACATAAAATCAATAAACATAAAATCTTACAGAACATAATCTTATTAATTATATATATTAGAAAAATAATTTAAAACCCTAAAATATACTTTATTAACCGACTTCTAATTCCAAAAAGGAGGAGGTTCTCAATTCGTCGTAATCTTTTTTTTATGTATGTTTACCGATTACTCGAAGACGCCTGAACCGATTTGGAAAATATTTTTTTGTTTTAAAGGGTACACTTCCCAGGTGGTCCCATATAAATTTTATCGAAATCGGCCGAGCGGTTTTAAAAAAAATCAACAATAATTTTTTTTAAATAAATTGTTTAATCGAATATGTTATTAAAAAACTTTCTTCTTACAAATTACCTGCTTATTACGTCTACACTAAAAATGGAAAAATAAAAACTTTTTAACAAAAACTAAAACCGACTTCCAGGCACTAAAATGTAAAAAATATCAAAACGGAGGTTTTCATTTAGAATAAATACCTAATCAGATATTTACGAAGTCGGTGCCAGCCTACAATTTTTTAAGATATGAATATCTAATAGATAAATATGTATTTTACGTATTCGTAAATACGAAAGGATTGATGATACGTACGAGACGTGTGCTAAATCATCTATACATATAATGAAATTGTAACTAAAGCGAATCTGTACATTAAATATTTTTTTTGGAAAATCTTATTGAAATAGACATCATTATTGATACAAAGGCCGAATGTATAGTTTTTAGAATTTTTGTCTGTCTGTCTGTTACCGCATCAAAGAAAAACTTTCGAGGGATTTTGATGAAATTCGGTATGGTGATAGCTGGTTATCCGGGTCAACATATAGAATACTTTTTACCGCGGGAAAATGTCTCATTTGTGAGAAAAAATACAAAAACTGCATCGTAGGAGTAACTAATATGTAAAACCTAAGAATTTGTTTTTTGTTCATCTGAACGCGAGCAGAGCCGCGGGAAATGCTAGTCGAGAATATTGTGTGTTACAAGCAAAATAATGAAATGTTAATGTGAGAATAAAAATAGTTTATGCCTTTACGGACAGGCCAGCAATAACATACGAGTTTGATATATGCATGTATTTATAAAGCAAACTCAGTGAAGTCTACGTCTTCGTAGCGCTTGCAATCCAACTTTTATATTGCAAAAATGAATAAACAGTATGAAGATATTTTATAAATACATCTATATTTTGATGTTTCTAAATGTTTATATTACTGTATTTATCATAACTTACATATTATTTAGGCATTAGGTACATCTCCCTTTCGTTTTCTTATGTTTATAGTTATTTTGAGCATTAGGTAGTCCCAGGTCGTGCCAAGTTACTAACCCTCGTGCCTCAGAATACATAAAGCCGTCAGTCCTGCGCTTAATCTCTCATCGGTAGTGTCGAATTGTCGCTCCACCGGAGTAGAGTAAAAGGATTTTAGAGTGCACTTATGCACTATAACATACTTTGTGCAGATGACTTGTCACAATAAGATTGGCCGCCGTGGCCGAAATAGGTCAGGAGGAGGATTATGATATTTTTAAATATTTTTATAAATTTGACGACACGTTTGGCTCAGTTTGTAGTGAACCTACTTGCTGTGCCAGCGTTCGCGGGTTCGAGTCTGGCTGGGGGCTTTCATTTGTGTGATAAGCACGAATGCTTGTACTCCAGTCATGGGTGTTTATATTTATAATTTGTATGTATTTAAAGTTATTTATAGTGTATCAACTATCTGGTATCCATAACACAAGCCTCGTAGCTTACCATGGAACTAGATAGTGTTGTGTGTTATCGTCCCAATATATTTGTTTATTTATTACACTACTTGCTAATGTAATGTAATAGAAATAAAATATTCAATTTTTAATAAAAAAAATATAGGTATATAAAGTTGAAGTATCTTAATGTACTAGTCTAGCTACGTAAAATTCAACTATCATAATGGGTCAATCTTCCAAAGAAGTAATAAAAACAAGAAAAGATTGCTCACTCGTAAATGTCAATAGGCAGGGTTATAGGTACGAGTAACACTATGCAAACTATGCGCCGGTGTCGCTGCAGAGTATACATGATCAGAATTTTAGATTGTCCTATTGGTTATTATATGTGTGTATATATGAGGGGTAGAATAAAAATAATATATTGAAAGGTTTTAAGGTGTGATATTATTACTTGCAATATATACATAAAATAAAATAATGGTAAAGACCGAGTCTCTTGTAATATCATATAAAAATCATCTTTAAAGTAGAAACATTCAATTAAAAATTAATACACCAAATTGAATATATTTTTTTTCGTTTCAGCTATTAAGCTGGCATCTATAGTATCGGATCTTAGGAAGAACTTATATCATGGATATATATGATTAATAGAAACTAGGATGATAAATATTTAATTCATTATTGAAGTTAAAAATCCTCCGATAAAATTTTATAGCTATAAAGTATTCTTAGAATGTACAGAAATTCTCCAAGAGACATACAACTACTCACAATCAGAGAAAGTGTGGAGGGAACAATTTTGTGGCATTAGAAAATTGGTCTTTACCCGATGTCACTGCAGCTCGCAATCAAAGCGAAGATGCCTTAGGGAATAGTGCATTTATAGCAAGTCGTGTTCATTCGTGTGAGATATTACAATTTGTACTATTTTTGTTTACCTATGTAGATGTTTAATATTGTATTACCTATGAGAATACTTAAATTTTTAATCTGTGACTTTACTGTATACTAGCATGGCTTTTTCCTTCCTTTAACACTAGTTTTTGCTATTATTTTGCTCTTTCCTAATTCATGAAAAACATAAATATAAGTTCAATCAAGGATTAAACTAATGTTGATTTTTTTGCAGTACAGAATAAAATTAATGCATAAACAGAAATTCAAAATTAACATTATAAATTATATCAACTTACTCAGCCTCTTCGATTGTCTCCGACATGGCAAGGAAGACACAGTTAAGCAGAATGGTGGCCATGACGAAGTAGTCAAAGTACTGGTTGGTCGAGAGGTAGACGCACGCACGTCGGACCGGAGACCACGGCGACCACCAAAAGAGTGATCGAGTCGCCGTGAACCGGTGAATATAGTTCTTGCGAAATCGTTTCGACACCACACAGAAAGTCTGTAACAAAAAAGTGGACATATGTATGTGTATAAAAAGGAAATAAAACAAAATTATTACATATTTTTATTTAACGCAGGCTAGATAGAGTATAAAATTATTATATTGTAAACTGTCATTTCTAGTACCTCAGAAATTTTTGCTAACATTATCTTAGTTTATGTTAATTTTGGTATTTTCAAGACAAAGTGAAATATTACTAAATACTAAATCGGGATTACTCAAAAGTAAAAGCGTTCCCTAGCAATTTTAGATCTCTTCCTATAAAGATCTAACGGCTTGTATTTCAGTTCGGGATATTTATATAATACTAGCAGTACCCGTGCCTCCGCTCGCATTTCAACGACTATAAACCTTTCTGTTGATCTGATCGCTACCAAACAGGATAGCCCCGTTGGGGTAATCTGAAGATTGCCAGAAAATTTCATCAAAATCTCTCCAGCTGTTTTGGAGTCCATAGGGAAGATACACACACACATCGATTTTTATATGTATGAATTTCATAAATATAGTCGTAACGCTAACACAGTGCTGTTACAATCAATTTCACGCCCCACGTTCGCAGTATCAATCGTTGAAACACACACACACAGTGAACGTTAAAATTTCATTAAAATGTTTACAGATGAACTTTACAAAGGAACCAACTAAGCTTTCAATAATGTTTAGGAAGAATGCTTATACAAGCATAACTTTGAAAGTTCCTTATCGCTGACAGGTAAATAGAATTATGGCTACGTCAAATTTATCATAGTTAAACATACTTATCTCTGTTAACTCAAGTGTAAATACGTAAACAATTATTATTTGGAGTGTCAGAAGCTTATTGTTTGAGTTTACACATTCTTACAATTTAATGTATATAGTTTATACAAATTAGGCTTTAACAGTTTATGTAATAGGGGCCTTTGTCAAGTAAAATCAGTTGGTGTATATCATACTCGTATATATGTAGGGTAAGTGAGATTAAGTATGCATGAAATAATATTTTCAACTGACTTCAAAAAGGAGGAGGTTCTCAATTCGACTGTATTTTTTTTTTCTTTTTTTTATGTTTGTTACCTCAGAACTCCGTCATTTATTAACCGATTTGGACAATGTTTGTGTTGTTTGAAAGGGTATACTTCCAGATTGGTCCCATTTAAATTAAAAAAAAAAATACCACCCCTAAGGATGGAAAAATAGCTAATGATGAATTTAACCTACTTCTAATTGTCATATTTACTTGAAACTTTGCAAGTGTTTCTATTTCCGTTGATACTACAGTGGTTCGGTATTGTTGACCTGATCTGATGGTAAGGCCAGAAGGTGGATAGGTGGAACTCTTCAACGACTAATAGCAGATACTTTGAGTTTGGGCTTATTTTGTTTGATTTGACAAGCCTAACACTTTAGAATTCTTACTTTGCTACTACTGTCTACACTAAAAAGGGAAAAATAAAAACTTTTTAACAAAAAAATAAAAACCGACTTCAAACAAAAGCACTAAAAAGTAAAAAATAACTGATTGGTAGTTTTCATTTACTATACATACCTAATCAAATATTTTCGAAGTCGGTGTGCTTTGGCTAAGTAATTAAAGCCTACCTATTAAATACATACCTAACCAAATATTTTCGAAATCGGTGCTAGTCCATACAAAGCAAAGCACACCGACTTCGAAAATATTTGATTAGGTATGTATAGTAAATGAAAACTACCAATCAGTTATTTTTTACTTTTTAGTGCTTTTGTTTGAGGTCGGTTTTTATTTTTTTGTTAAAAAGTTTTATATAATAATAATGTTTTATATAATACTAGCAGAACCCGCAGCTTCGCTCGCACTAAAACTACAAAAAAATCTCTAAAAAGGTAGGTACCTAGTTTTCATACAAACTTTTATCCCCTATTTTACCCCTTTATAGGATGAATTTTGAAAAATGCTAAGGCATATGTTTATTTATTTGTATTGAAGAGCATTTATACAAAGTTTAAAAAAATTCTGATCAGAAATAAATTTTTGGATTGTATTATAACGTGTTATCCCGTGGGAATGAGATGATCTCCCGCGATAAAAAGTAGCCTATGTCATCCTCCAGCTCTCCAAATATCTTCACACGAAAAATCACGCCAATCGATCACTCCGTTTCGACATGAAAGAAAGACAAACAAACACACAAACAAACACACTTTAACATTTATAATATGAGTATTGATTTTAAGAATAGAATGAATGATGAACTAGTGGCTTACCCTCGCTTTGCTCTAGGGACGGAGTGTTGCTATATCGCATTGTTTTCAAATAACTATTGCTTTTAATAAATTATATACATAAACTTTTCTCATAGATCACTCTGTCCATTGGTGAAAACCGTATGCAAATCCGTTCAGTAATTTTTGAGTTTATTGCGTTCAGACAGACAGACGCGGTGGGATAACTTTATTTTATAATATGTAGTGATAAATGAAAATAACTATAGTTTGTCAGAACGGCGATACGAATAATTGAGATTATTTGTACTAAAATAAATAGTCAGTGTGATATTAAGTGCTTTTATTTTAAAGCTATCGGTCTGATTTGAAACACATAGATACTCGTAGGTACTTGAAGTATATTCAATTCAGCTGTCGAGTTGTAAATATAAGAACGAGAACGAATAAAAATATCATTTATAATGGTAGCAAGCACACTACACAGCATAATACTTCACCTAACAAAATAATCATCTAATCGCTTTTTTAAATGAAAATAAAATAATTATATTGAATACAATATGATTATCCATACCAATATTATAAATGCGAAAGTAACTCTGTCCGTCTGTGTGTTACCTTTTCACGCTTAATCCGCTGAGCCGATTTAGATGATATTTGGTATGGAGATAATTGGGATATAGGATAGCTTTTATCCTGGAAATCATCCCTTGAGGAGGTGAAAAGGGATATATATTTAAAAGTAGGTGCTTTTCCGTACATATACATGTATATATATATATATAGTTTATTCTATACTAACTGTGGAAACGTACCTAGGGACGAACGCAAGCGAAGCGAGTGTGAGTCGCTAGTTTATAATAAGACTCTTATTTATTTCAATCAATCCATTAACAATTGATGAAAGTATTAAAACCAAAGCACGATAATTGGTTCATAAAATGAGAACATTAAGAATGTTAAAACGGATTACAAAAACTTAAACAATTTCCAAAGCGTTGTACAATGTACATGAATTATTATTTTCTGTTCAAATATATCATGAACTTCAATATCTGCAATGCGGATTTTAAATGTCTGTACCGAATTTCTTTTATAATAAATAGGCTTGTCTTCTTAATTTTCTGCTAAATTATTTAGAAAAGTTGGTCTCAGCTGCAAACGAAAGCCAAGTGGTATTCTCTGTAGATACTTCTACTGCTAGTTGAGCTTAAAAAGCTGTGTATTTTTAATCCCAAGCAAGGTAGAAATTAAAATGAATTTTATAATTTACTGTTTTTTATTATTTAAGTTTTAAGTAAACATAATTTTAAATAAAAATGATAATTGTAATTTTTATTATTTTTGTAGTTTGGATATATATTTGATTTTTGAGATCAAAAAGAGTGTCTCGGTCTCGTATCGGCATTTTTTGTATGTTTTTGGTAATTGTGAATCGATTTTCATAATGTCGTTTTTAATGAGGTACCAAGGGTGCTTCAAAGTAATTTTTATTTACAACGAATAATTTATGTATGACAGTCGTCGTAGCGTTGTGAGTTTTTATGACTGGGAATGTTACGAAATTCTAATAAAAAACTAGCATATAAAAACTTTTAACCACCCAAAGCAAAAACAGGGGTATTATAAGTTCGACATGTGTATCTGTCTGTGTGTATATAGCTTCATAGGTCCAAAACGGATAAACCAATGCAATTTCACTTTAACAACTTATTCAAGCCTATATAATAATCGTAAGCATTATAGTTGCCAAAGATGTTAAATCTCAAGAGCGTATAAACAATTAAATCTTAATTGGGTCCGTGTTCCTCAAAGTTTCGACGTAATGTAGGAACTTTGCAAATTACAATTAGTGTCGTAAACATTGCTCCTCTGGTGTTTTTAGTTTTAATCCAGCAATAAAATAGATTGTTTTATTCGAGGTTCACTTACAATTATGGGAAGAGGTATGAAAGAGGATATTTTTGGTTTTATTAACTATTTACATTTAACTTATTATAACTATAGTAAGCGATCTACGAGGCGAATTATCAAAAGTGTAAAATAAATGGCAAATTATTACTATTTAATATATACTATAATAAACGTGGAAGTTTGTATGTGCGTATGTGTACGTTTGTTTCTCCTTCATGTCCAAACAGCTAGAGGGATATGTATAAAATTTAGTGCTCAGATAGACTTATAACCTAGACTAATAGATAGGCTATTTTAAAGTACCTAAGAGTGCACAAGAACGAAGCGAAGGTAAGTCGTTAGTCTATACTAATATTATAAAGAGGTAAAGTTTGTGAGTGTGTGATGTTGTAGGGGGGTAATCTCTGGATCTACTGAACCGATTTGGATGAAATTTGGTAAGAAGATAGTTTGAGACCCTGGGAAGGACATAGGATACCCATAGATATATGATAGACATAGGATTTATCCCGCAAATCATCCCTTAAGGGGATGAAAATGGGGATGGAAGTTTGTATTAGGAAGTAAGTTAGGGACGAACCCGTATGAAGTGAGGGTGAGTCGCTAGTTTTGTTATTAAAACGCACTTGTAGTTATTTCATTTCCTATAATAAAAGTAACACAGTTTAAATACAGAAAATTTAATAGTTTAACAGTTACTAGCGGTTTGCCGCGGCTTCGTCCGCGTAGTTCATTTATGTAACTTACTATAACCACAGATCATATAATACTATACTCTATAACTTAACATTAGCGTATATGTTAGTATGATAAGCTTAATCAGTATACAATATATATACAGTAGTTTAGACGAAAGAGAAATAAACATGCATTTTTAAATCTTACATTCATAC